CACGTAATCATTCACTCTTTTCTTCCTCTATCTCAAACCTCCTTCCTATCTCTCTGATCACTCATTATTTGCCCATTTTTCTCACTTCAAATTTCATATTGTAATTACTATTTGACCTTGAAGTGGCACAAATAGTGTGCTTGCTGTTTTAGGTTTGTTTTGGGGGCATTGTGGTCCTTTTACCCTCAACCCTATGTCCCAAACACCCATCTTCCGTACTTAAAATCACCATTTTACCCTTCATCATTCACTCTTTTCTTCCTCTATCTCAAACCTCCTTCCTATCTCTCTCATCACTCATTATTCGCCCATTTTTCTCACTTCAAATTTCATATTGTAATTACCATTTGACCTTGAACTGGCACAAATAGTGTGCTTGCTGTTTTAGGTTTGTTTTGGGGGCATTGTGGTCCTTTTACCCTCAACCCTCTGTCCCAAGCGCCCATCTTCCGTACTTAAAATCACCATTCTACCCTTCCATTTCCTTCCGTAAATTCCCTCCTGCATTACGTAGTGAGGGGCAAAATGGTTATTTAATTATTAAGCTATTCTTTCTTCTTTTCTTTGGCCGGCATTTAGGAGGTTGTGTTTCAAAGTTTCCCCTTTTCTGCTTTACACTGGTCCTTGCTTTCTTCACCTGTTACTCATCCACTCTTTTCTTCTGTCCTTTTCTCTACTGTTATGAAAAGAATATACTAGTTATTTTTTCTTTTTTTCTTTTTTTGAACATGATTACATTGTTCGGGGAAAGGAGAATGGATTGGTCTCGATCCCAAGACCTATGAGAAATTCTATGCGGGGAGTTACCATTTGCTCTACCTAGAAGTTCTCATTAGCTATTTTTTTTTAATAGTTTACGATTCAAGAGAGAAAGATTTATCTAAAGTATTGATGGGGATTAATCAATTAATCCAAATATCTTAAGGATTAGAGGTGAATCATTAATACCAAAATCTAATTCAAAATATACTAACTATTGTTTGTTATCATTTCATTTTGATTTTTGTACTTGTGAAATTAGCAGGCAATTCATTTTACCCGCTTTTTTTTATTGTTAATGTCAATTTTCATCCTTCTACTATCAAAAATAGTATTAATATTTAATAAAGTAAAATTAGTAGGCAATTCATTTTAGCCCCCTTTTTTCTTTGTCTGGCATTAATTCAGAATATACTAGCTAGTGTTTGTTATCATTTTGGTTTTTGAACTATTTTTGATAATAAATTTTGAGTGCTTTATTTTAAAAAATTTATTAATTGACTTAAATTTTCCTACATCTGCATTACTAGGGGTGGGCAAAATCGGTTTTGGTTTAAAACAGAAAGCGATTTTGAATTAGCCAAAAAAATTTGGTTTTAATTTTACAAACCGAAA